ATGTATTTATTTATTCTTATTGATATATTGTATACTGTGGTGGAAGGTTGGGATTTAAGAATTTACCTGAGAGTGGAATAATGGTTTAGTCTGTGATAGCTGAACATATTTAAGGCTGCCAGTTTTCATTAGAGGATGGATTTTTGTGCTGTGAAGAAGCTCGACAAGTTAATTGTTGTAAGGAGAGCTGTATAGCAAATAAATACTTTGTTCCACTACACTTGCCTCGGTCCGTCTCACTGTGTTTCCAGCCGCTAAGGGCCGCCCTGTTACACCCCCCAGTTTATTTCATATCTGTTACAAGGACAATGTGGTCTGCTTATGAAAATTCCAGTGGAGATGGTCCAAACGTCTCGGGTCTTCTTGTCTCCCAACGATGTGAGGTCAGAGGTTGGAAAGGCCGTCTGACTCCACAGCCCACAGCCAAAGGGATCCACTGTCTCTGTGAGGCTTGATTTTCCTTTGCAAGCAACAGTACAGGAAGGAGCAGGGTTTACAGAGAGACGTTATCTGCCCACCGTGGTCACAGAATATAGTCACAACATTATGTATAAAACATGAGGAGTATAGTAAAACAAGTATATCTTGTATAGAAAGATTATATGGAGCCAGAACAGGATACCGTGGAGCTTTTATTCAATCAGATCAGCTCGACACAGAGAAGAGCAGAACTCTGCATCGCACACTGGAGGCCTTTGTTCTGGAGTCACTGCAGGGACACACGGAGGAACTCGTACTGTTGTTGGACTGGCATCCAGATCCCTGCAGCCTCAGCAGTGTGTGTGTGTGTGTGTGTGTGTCTGTGCATTTGTGTGTGTTTGTGCATGTGTGTGTGTGTGTCTGCGTGTACAGGTTCTTACTATCTTGATGGGGACCAAAATCCCATGGGGTTGAAGGCATTTTTGAGACTCAAAATGTGGTTTTAGTGTCAGGGTTACAATTAGGTTATGTTAGGGTTATGTTAATGGGATGTCCCCACGAAGACAGCAAACCAGACACCAGACCAGACACAATTTTGCTTTACAGGATTACAAATATGTGATATTGTGTTGTAAGCAGTGCCTGCCGTGAAGTGTCCTGTTAACAAAAGCTGAGAGGCTAGCAGCTTTCTTTTTGTTGTTTGCACACGTGCTGTTGGATGAACTTGTTTTCTTTGATGGGAGACTGACAGCAAACCAGTGTGCTAAACAAACCATTCACTGCTCTGTTTATTGTGAGTTAACAGGCTAAGTGACTCTCAGCAGAGGAGGTTCACTTACTAAACAGCAGTGCAGGGACTAATACAGTAACTACGTTATTATTGTGGTAACAAGCACGGTAACTAGTTATTATGCCGAAATCAGGAACACGTTAATCGTTACTGGGATTTAGATAGGCTCGTTATTCGTTTGTGTGGTAGCTATCACAGAGCTTCCACAGATTCAGTAACATTAGTAAGTGGTGGAGGACAGCAGGTGGATGAAGGAGAGAGGGAAACATGAAGATGAAACCAGGAGACGTCCTTACTGAATCATCAGAGCTGAACAGGTGATGGAGAAACAGGTTTACCTTTTAGGTGACATGGATGAGTTGAAGTTATGAACTGTTTCTGAGAGACTAATAACACCAGGATCCTTTTCTAAGCAGCTGACAGCTGGTAACTGTGCAGGGGCGGGTCTAGCAAAGTGTTGCCAGGGGGCCAGGAAGGGCATTAACAGGGAGAGGGGGGCACAAAGAAATACTTTCTTATTCTCATTTAAAATGTCTAGCTTTTATTAAATAATTATCTGAATCTTACAACAAACTATTGATAGATTGATACATATATACCATCAGAACAGTGTACATCACTGTCACAACAGCGTTTGTTTGCATTCAAAGGCTTTATGATTTTTCCTATAATGGTGGGCCGGTCTCTAGTCAAAACGCCCGGGCTGATTTTTTGTCCCAGTCCAGCCCTGTATGCAGATGAGCATACAGGGCTAAAGAACACTGCTAAACAGTTTGACCAACACTTATGATGTAAAGGAGTTGGAGTGTAAAATGATGAAAGAGGAATGTTTTTACCATATTTATCACTTCTAGTGCACTTTAAAAACAACAACACCAAATATAAAAGACAAACACGGACCAGATGGTAAAAGAAGACCTAAGTAATGTTTCAATGTTGTGTTTGGACAGAGGAGGCTTGAACTCTGACAGTTGCTTCAACTGGAAAAAGCAGGATTTTCCCACAGGACTCACATGAGGATGAAACTGTAGAGAAGGATCCGTTTTCACAGCTAAGTTAATGGATTTCTCATATGGAGCCAGAAAGGGACGCTCGATGCAGGGGGGCTGCTAGTGCAACTGGGTATAAACATCATGACTTCTGCCTTATTCTCATTAAACTTCAACCGATTTAGTGCAATCTCCTGATGTCAATGATGCAGTCAAGGACAGGCTGGACAGAGGATGCACCAGTGCTTCAGTGGAAAATGCACTTGAAAGTTGTTTGCATAACAATGAAAGGAAACATTATGTCTCAGAAAAATAGTGCCACTTATGCCCAAGCTGTAGCTCATGTGGTGGTTCTTCGTACTCTTTTCAAAGGTTTTAATATTTGCTCTTAAAGCTCTCCATGGTTTGGCTTCAGGTTACACTTCAGATCTGCTTAGCCTGCACCTCCCACTCGAACTCTGCGCTCCTCCAGTCAGATGCTTTTATTAGTTCGACGCTCCCAGTTAAAATCTAGAGGCGACAGATCTGAAAACTCTGCATCACCAATTTTCACATTGACATCAGATAAACCAGAAGCTAAAACAGGATCCAGAGTGGGCCCACGTTCCTGAGTGGGACCACTTACAGATTGAAATAGATTAAGAGTCCACTATATCTCCTTCACCAGAGGTTTCAAACTAACATGAATATCAAAGTCCCAACAATTTAACCATAATTTCACCCGAGAGACAGAAGTCAGTTAAAAAGTCCCTATTAAATGTTGGTGAAAGGTGAACTATCACACAGCAGTGCAGGAGAGTGACTCGAAAAGGTTTCATTCAAAGCAGCAGAAAGAGACGGGAGGCGACGACTGTTTACGGGCAAAGTTCAGTGGCTCGACCTCCACCACGACCCGCGGACTAAGGCTGGACTCACCAGGAGACATCCAGGTGTCAGTGACGCAAAATAAATCCAGTCCATGGGACGTGAAGAACAAAAGTACTGTTTGTGACTAACCTGGCATTTAGCAGACACTATTGTTTTGGCTCTGTTTGTTTGTTTGTTTGTTTGTTTGCACAGTTTGTTTGTAAATGCTTTAAAATAACAGTATGGCACATATTACATGGCATGGACACATGTTGTCCAAGAGGGGGAGGAGCTGGATCTGACTGATGTAAAGAAGGAGTAGAGGGGTACAGACAACAGGAAACATGTGGATACTGTCTCGGGATTGTTTTATTACCAGCCTCTTACTGTTTGAAACACATTAAGTATTATTGTTATCAGTGACTTTATATCGTGAATAAGAAGAAATGACTTTCACTTTTGCAGAAACCAAGCCAGGAAGTGGTCTGTGCAAACCAGGAACCATTGCTTTGTTTGGTAACGTGGTGTACAGCGATCTACTCAACGAGCACTTGTGGCACTTTGGGCTTCCCGTCATCACCAGACTGGTCAGTTTTTTTTCTCTTCCTGTTTAATCTTTCTTCTTCTTCCTGTTTACTGTGAGCTGCTCCTGCTTATTTGAATCTGTACTTGAAGTCCAGGTGTCGAAATGTACTCACTACATAGCAGCTGTAAAACCTCTAACATAATTACACACACACACACACACACACACACACACACACACACACACACACACTCTGAGGCAAACATCAGCTCCTATAAAAACCATCTCCCTT